CACAGTAAAATTCCGGACAACATCATGTGTTTTGTCCAGATGGACACCCGAGGGCCGTTTCTGACGGACCGCGCAGGCACCGAGGACACCACGCGAGCAGCGACCGCAGTTCACTGTCCGATTATTCCGCAGATTGCGCAAGATCCAGATTCAAAATTTCAGCAGCAGCAGCAGCTGCAGCAGCTGCAGCTCTGGCAGCGGCGTAGCTGGCACCTCGATGAGCCACTCAGCCTCGAGTCATTCCTCGCGGCTCGCAAAAACGACGCCTCCCCCGTCTCCGCCGCTGAAATCGCCACCAGCATTGGCTACAGTCGACAGCCAACGAAACGCGTCGCGGGTCGTCGCGCGCTGACGGATCCTTCCCGCGAAACCCCCGCCGCGTCGACGGCCCGAATCGCCCTAGACTCATGGGAGGCTTCCTCCGCGAAACTTCTTTCTCTTACTACGCCTGACACGGGAACCGCGAGGCGCGCGGAACGCCTCGGAGGTGTGGGCAGCGCGAGAAGCGCGAATGCGGACTCTGCGGTTGCTAGCTCGATCTCTCAGCACGCGACGTTGAACATTCGTCGCGCATCCGTCAATCGCTCAGAAAGGCGGTTCATCGAGAACGGCACTGCTGCGACAGGCGACTCCTGTCGCTGGCGTCTCACGAAGGAGCAGGCGACGGCAGAGTGGTCGTCGCTCAGCGACGCGGCTGCTAAAACTTTTGGCAGCAGCACGAACACGGACAGTAGTCCGAGCAGCATTCTTTCCCCATGGAGCACCGGAAGTGCTTGCAGCAGCCGTCACGTCAGCACCCCCTACTTTTTCTCCTCGGCTGTAGCAGCCTCGCCAGCTACAATCCCGTTGCCGGCTGCAGCTGCTACATCCCTGGCGTCACCCGCAACGGCCGCGCGTGGCGCGTTCGCGTCCGCGGGTTCCGCGGGAGTCGCTGCGGCGCATCCTCCGCTTCCGACCACTTCAGGCTCGGCGCGCCTGCATCGGTCGATGACGAGCGACCGGGTTCTCATCATGCAGCGACGAGGCGGAAGCGCTTCCGCGGCCAGCCCGGGGAATTCCGCAGCGCGGAACGCAGCGTATGTCGGCAACAGAAGTAGCGGCTGTGCCGTCAGCGGTAGCAGCGGCCGCGGTGTGTCCAGCGGGGATCAGCGGCGGCCGCCTGAGGCTCCTAGGCACGCGCGGAGGCACTCCTTTTCGCTCATGGAGGGACGCGCGTGTGACACGGCGCCTGTGCGCAGTGACTCGCACCCGTTGACGCAGCTCCAGCTTCAGCAAAATCAGCAGCGACAGCAGCAGCAGCAGCAGCAGCAGCAGCAGCAGCAGCAGCAGCAGCAGCAGCAGCAGCAGGTGCAGCGGTATCACCAGCAGCACGGATCCAGTGGCGTTTTCCCGGCTTCAGCTGTGATGCCAGCTCATCACATTCGGTCCAGCACCACCGCTCCTAGCAAGCCGGAGGCAGCAACTCAGTCAGCAATCCACGGCCCTTCCCCACGCTCACCGCCTCCCCAAGCGGCCGTTTCGTCCCGCCGCATCTTCCGAAGCTCATCAGTCCCGGCCATAGACGTCCCCCTTCCTGCTGCCACATCTACTCGCCAGCCGGAGCGTACCAGCCCGAACTGCAACCCACCCAGGGTCACCGCAGTGGGGAGCCGGAGCCCAATCAGGAGCCCAATCAGGAGTCCTAGCAGGGAGTCACAAAGCGACGCCAGGAGCCTGAGTCCCACAATTGCTGGTCTGGCGACCAGCCACACCGTGCCTGACTTCACAGTGAAGCCGTCCCCCAAGCCATCCAGGCATGCACGACGCGTGTCATTCAGTGCAGTCGTTCACGTTCGCCACTTCTCCGACTGCCCGGTGGTGGATGATTTTTCTAAGCTCCTGGAGCAGGAGCTGCCCGAGTGGTCGGGCAGCAGCGAAGTTTCAGTTTCGCCAAAGTTTGTGCCGATGCCGCCCCCGAGACGGCAGAACTCGGTGGATATGCCGTCGCCAGAGACAAGGAGGCGTGTGGCAAAGCTCAGGGCTCATCACGACTGGAACACTGGAGCAATCAGTCTCTCAGGGCCTGTGTGAGGAAGGAGGAGGGTGTTGCTGACCATGTGTGCCACCGCCCAAGACCCAGCCCATAGGCGCGTGGCAAAGCTCCAGGAATATCATCATTGGAACAGTGGACCAATCAGTCTATGAGCCTCCTGTGTGACCATGAGGCTGAACATTCACAGGTTTATTTCAGTGGCCATTGGTATCACGGAGATTCATTTGTTTGTTTTCAGGGCATTGCAAGTGCTTTGCAACCCGACCCCTTTGTAAAGTTTGGTAACTCAGCTTTTTCACGGGACTGTAGGGATGTTACAGGACGTGGGGTTTGAGTTACAGTACCTTGCCTGTGCAGGTTACAGTATTCTTATATTGAATCTTGTGCTACATCTTGAGTCTCATACAAATAATAGTCTCATACAGATAATTTGTTTACAGTACTGCCATGCCACGCCAACTCAAGCCAAGGCACACAGTACCGCCGCTGTTTTTTGGATATACACGTCACCCTGGCTGCATTCCCACGTTGTAGCCTTCGTGGGTATGATGTAGAAACTCGTTTGCAGTGGTTGTCGGAAACGCTGGTGTAATAATCAACAATTCTAACCCTTGGAAGTGGACTGTCCCACCCAAATTCTTCACTATCCAAGGCATATAGCTTACCGTAGCTGTCATACTCGAAATCCAGACCCGCACCCCAACGTCTCCCTGGAGGTTCCCACGTTTTATAGAACCCCTGTAAGCGTCATAAAATACGTTGTCCTCGGTCGGGGATGTTTGTAGATTTACCAAGATTGCAATAGTAGCAGTCTTCACCACCCCCCTAATTCTCATTTGCAGCTCAAAATCAGGAACAAGAATCGGGCAGGTATGAACACTATGTAGGCATAGTGATATGGTTATCGAAGCACCTTACGAGGTGGCAGATATTTCCGCTGATTTGTTTGCCTTCCTTTCAAGGACCACAGGAGCTCCCAATTTCTGTGGTCAGAGGATGCCATTGGACTGGATGGGTTCAAACGGATGTGCGAGCAGGGAAAAGGTTGCTGCTGTATGTGGACTGGGTGGGTGTGGCGGGGAGTGATCTTGGGCTAGAATGACGTCAGAATCTAGGTTGTCATAATTCAAGTCACGTGACACCTCTGATCATGACATCCTTTCAGATTATTTTCTGGTCAGGAATGAAACTTTACGGTCTCTAATGGCTGTGATGCTTGACCGTCCACTGCACATTTTAGTCAATACAATAGCTGCTTGTTCGCTGGAGGACGGCCATGCTCGAAGTGTACACGTATATCGTGATGCCCGGGAATTGGACACAATTACTGTGCTCGTTCTGCGAGTGCAACACAGCTTGCACCGCAGCATTACTTTCAACTGACCGTTCTCCCAAGACACACAAAGTTCGTTGTTTGAAGTTCGGTTACTGTAAATATTTCATCGATGCTCTGGGAAAACCCCAATGTTGTTACTGAACTTTTTCTTGAAACCACTTTTGGGCAGTCAATACATTTTCACATCTTCGTTTCAAAGGTCCCCTGGGCACTGCACGCGGATCTGCACTACAGACATGTAAGGACATCTGCCATCGTGCGGCGCGCCAAGGAGAGCAGTGAAACACTTTTTTCTGCCTTCACTTTACTTTCTTCGCTGGGCGTTGGACGATCACCCCCCGATGTTTGTCAGTGGAGTCCAGCCAGCAGTTGGGGTCACAATTTGCTACGACGACGCGTTCAGCGACGGCGAAACAACAATCTAGCAAACACGCACTGTCGCAGGATTCCAAGCGACCAGTATCTGGAGGAATCATAGGGTATCTATCGTCGCAAAAGCCGTCGCAAAAGCAGTCATCTCCATCCAGCAAAACATGCATCCGCCATACCTTCGCCCTACATCCCTTTCCCCAACCACCTTCCATGGCATCCCTCCTGTATAATTCTGCATCCTGCTTGTCATCTTTGTTTTCACCCCTCTAAATCCCTTTCCACTCTTCTTCCTCCCAGTCCACTCCTCTCCTCCACTTTCTTCTGCTGCCCTCTCATTTCCTAACTTCTGTACTACTACTCTCTGTCAGACAGCTTAGCACTTTCACCTGCTTCTCCCTCTAAAGTGTCATGACACAACTGTATCTCACTCCTTTCTCCCTTCTCAGCTGTCTTTCACTCCAGCGATTATAAATTCTCCTAGATTGAACGATCATAACATCCGATCCGAGTGGTCGTTTCGGCTACAGCTTCTTCTGGAGGGCTATATCCAGTTTTAATACAATCTCCAGGTGGCGAATAGAGCGAGTGCATCTCAATTCTGCTACCTAACCCCTGCAGTCATTATTTATTTCTCTTTTCACAGCCGTCACTGCACTATATTATCACATTACAAGCTATAACGTTATTATTCAATACTTCCTGGTCGTCACGGTGTCATTGTCACATCAGAAGCAGCCAGAACGATGGCCTGTGTTTTGAATGCCAGGACCAGTCAGATGGGAGGCGCTGGAGTTGACAAGGATGTCGGCCAGTCAGCTTCTGGCAACGCTTCCAGGGAGCGATCCAGCGTGGATTACGGTGCTTACCTGGGTGTTCGCGAAACCGCGATCGCCAAGAAGTATCCTGTTTTGACGAAAAGGAATGGGATAAAGGTTGACCTGAAGGCAAAAGCTCGACGATCGTCGAACGTCGCCGAGGCAGCCCTGGCAGTTGAAGTTGATACGGCTTCTCAAGGGGATGACAGCAAGGGTACTGAAGCAGGATCGATGAGCTCTTGCTTGGTTGAAGAGCGCCCAGTAGGAGCCGTTGAATCGGACGGAGCTTCCGCGAAAGACATCGCCGTTGATCATACGTTTCAAGACAGGGCTGAGATCGGAAATGTGTGTGAAGACAGTCCGGAAATGCTGGACGGATGCGATATCTCCACGTGGCCTGATTTCTCCGTCGATCCTCTAGGAGCTGGCGAAATCGACGATCTTGATGTACCTGGTAACTTGAGGAACCTGCAGTTACCCGATCCCGAGGATACGCTTCTGGACAAGCGGTCTGGCGAAGCGACCGAAGTGAAACGCGAACCTGTTGTTGCCGAGGATGTTCGACCGTCGGAGACTTTTCATTCGGATTCGCACCTGAATGAGCAAAGCGATATGACTTCCAAGGACACCAGCAAGAGCCCAGCGCAGAAGAAAAAACCCAAGGTCAGTCAAAATTTTCTGGCTTTTGTTATGAAGCGTGGCGACTTTCATGCGTCTGATGGTCTTTGTTCTTCTTCACATTGATCAATCAACGTCGTCTTATTGGTTTGCAGCGTGCGTCGTCTGTTTGTCTGCTATGATCTTCGCATTCCGTTAGAACACCACAGCTCACCACAGCTCCTCATTCTTGTCATCATTCCGTATCTCCCCATTCTCATCGCCTCCATTCCACATTCAGGTGGATTGGACGCCGGAGCTTCACAGAAGGTTCGTGCAAGCGGTGGAGCAGCTAGGAGTGGACAAGGCGATCCCTTCCCGCATTCTCGAGCTCATGGGCGTCAAGTCCCTCACTCGCCACAACATCGCCAGCCATCTCCAAAAGTACCGCTCGCACCGCCGCCATCTCGCTGCGCGGGACGCGGAAGCCGCCAACTGGCACACCAACCGCGCACCCGCGGATTCCGGCGCTTCTGCCGGCGCCTGGCCGGCTGGCGCTGCTGCTGCCGCTGCTGCTCCGGCGGGAACGCCTGGAGCATCGGGATCCACGTGGGGTCCCGGAGTCCCGCCTGCGGGTGCGGCCGTTAGCGGTGGTGGTACTCCGGCAAATGCGGTAGCAAATGGCGTTCCCAATGGCTCTCCGGGTGGTGTATCGCATGGGGTTCCGACGGGTCATCCTGCCGCCATGATGCCGCCTCGCCAAATGCCCGGCATGATGCCTCCGTGCCCGCCGATGCCGTTCCGCCATCAGCCGTACGGCAACATGCCGATGATGCATCCGCATCAATCATCGCCTGCCATGGGCCCCATGATGCCGCACCCGCCGCCAGCCATGGGCATGCCGGTATGGGGCCATCCGACGACCGGGGGAGCGTCGCCGGGCGGTTTTCCGCGGCCGCACATGTGGGGACATATGCAGCAGCAGCAACAGCAGCAGCAGCAGTGTCAGGCACAGCAGCAGCCGCAGCAGCAGATGCAGCCGCGCGTGGCGGCGTACCCGCCTCCCTCGTGGCTGGCCGTTGATGGTTCCTCTCCGTGGCACCACTACCCCGCGGTACGACTAACATTTCAACCTCGTCGTCATCCTCACAATGTGTACTTGCAATCTGTACTTTTTTGTAACTGCGCACCCCAATCCCCCCCGTTCCCATCCACTCCCCTCCCTCCCGCTTATTCCCGCTTCATCCTGCTTTTTATATCCTTACACTATCCTTCGCTCGTCCTTCTACCACAATGTCGGTTTCGCTTCTTACTCTCTCCCTCACTCCCCCTTCCCCCCCTCCCTGCGCCACTCCCCCTTTTCCCCCTCCCTGTGCCACTCCCCCTCCCCCCCGTCCCACCGCCTGCAGTTCCCCGCGGGTCCTCCGCCGATGGACGCGTGGCCCCATCCCGGCATGCCAGCGCGCGGAATGCCTTGCTTCCCCCCGCGCCAGCACCAGCACCCGCTCAGCTACCCCATGCCGCCCAATGGCCCTCCCAACGGCGCTGCCAGCGGTCCTCCTGGCATGGTCTGCGGCGCGCCTGTCTGTCCGCCTAACGCCATGCCGCCCAACGGCTATCCGCATACCGGCGCGCCTCCCTCCGGAAGCCACGCGAACGGGGCCCCTGCCATGATGCCTCCGCCGTCCCCCTTCCTAGGAATGCCCATGATGCCCGGTCTCCCGCACGCGCCCAGTTTCGGCCCCTCCCCCGGGCACGGGTGGGGCATGGGGGCGATGCTGTCCGGAACGTCGGGCGGAGGGGGAGGCGGGGGGGACGGGGGGGCGGGTGACGCGGCGCACGTGGCAGATGAGGCGATGCCGAATCCGATGTTTCCGCTCTCGGATGATCTGACGGTGGACCTTGCTGCGATTTCAGCTAGCATCGGGGACGATTTGCATGAGGTGAGCTGGAGATGCGTGTTCGAGTGCGTGCACTGAATGACAGTATTTGCATTGTCTTGAGCTGTGAGGAGCGCGGGGAGCAAGGAGCGGGGGCAGGGGGCAGGGAACGGAGGGCGGAGAGCGGGGAGCATGTGCTGAATGTTGTCATTCGCGTTCTCACGAAAACGACATCCTTGTTGCCCCTATTAGCCAAGCCCTCGCGAACCCAGACACACCGCTGCCTCTGGGGCTCAAGCGTCCAAGGGTCTTGTGCCCACTGTGGTCAGTTCACTCATGTACCAATTTCCCTTTCCCCCTCTCCCCTCCTCCCCCATCTCCCCCCCTCCCTGCGCTCCTCCCCACAGGCCAACGACATTCTAGACGCGGCCATCAGCGAGGCGCTCACCAACCCCGCCACGCCGCTGCCGCTGGGCCTCAAGCCTCCGTCGCTGGACGGCGTTTTGGACGAGCTCAACCGCCAGGGCATCCGCATGCCCGCCTCCACTGCTGCCGCCGCCGCCGCCGCCGCTGGTGCTGCTGATGCTGGGGATGTTGTAGCAGCTGACGCAGCTGGCTCGGATGGCGCACCGGTCGCGTTTGCTGCGCTAGTGGATGCTGACATGCTTACTGCAGCTGCTGGGGTTGATGGTGATGGTGACGACGAAGGTCTCCTATCGCTGACGGACTATCCTGCTGGGCTGTTTTGCTCTGCGGAAGCCATGGCGGCTGCTGCCTCGTTCCTCAAGGAAGAAGCTGTGTAGGCTACCAGGTTATGTGCCAGGCCAGGCTAGCGTTGAAACAGGAAAAGGGCTTTTCTGGTTCTAGACTTCTGGACGGATGAAGGTAGTGGCAACAGCAGTGGTTTGATGCGTGAAATGCTTCAAGAGTCAGAAGGTAGCGGTGAAAAGCAGGGGTTTCAACTTCAAGCTGGCTGCCACAAAACGGCTCCACGTCTCTCTGGTGGCTTAGAACCCTAAACCCTTGGGCATTTTCACAGCACGCCCTGGGCGAGTTCGAATCTCAGGTAGAGCAGCTGGGTTTTAGCCATGGACTTAACCTCTTCCCCATCAACCTTCCTGAGGTAGCGGCTGTGAGGGGCAGCACTTCAAGGCAGCAGCTGGGTGAGTTGCATCAGCAGCAGCAACAGCTAGGTGGTTTGTAGCAGTAGACAGGGTTAGCTGGAGCAGCAGTTGCAGCTGTGGCTGGGCCTGCAAGCAGATCTCTCTAATAAGTTACCAAGTTACGTGTCTCCAGTTTCTCTCGCCTCTCGGGCTTTAAAGAAAACAACTGACAGTGTGCAACTGACACCTGCTCGCTCTGCCGAAGTGTGCCTTGAGCCAAAGGCGAAGGGCAATAACTGGTGAAGCAGAGCAGTATCCCGGCAGGGCGTTTTTTTTGGGGGGCTGGGCTGGGCCACACAGCAGGGTGACATCATGACATGGATCAAGAGCAGTCACTCACCCTGAGTGCTGATGGGTTTTTTCTTGTGTTTTTTCCCTAAATCCCTCATCTCATTTGGCCCTCTTTTACCGTAGCAGTTCTACACTACTACCGTACTCTCCCACTTCTTTCTAGGAGTTAGCTGCTTTGTCAAATGGGTTGGGTTAGTCTCTAACTCATCCCCTGAACTTTTCCTTCATGTACACAAAATCCCACAAAATGTTATTTACTTGATTCAGGTTAACCATTGAGCGCTAGATAAGCATAAGAGCGTGTTCCTACGGGCCCCTATCAGGCCAGCCCCTTGTCAGACTCGCCTCAAACACCAGAATTTCAGATTAAACGCAGTTTGTATTACCGTAGACGTTTTGATCGTTTGTGAAGTGCGCGACAAAATGCGATGGGTGACGTGGCACTGCGCGACGGTCCCGAAAGGTTGCAAAGGAAAAAAATTCCGAGTTCAGACAAATTCCAGACGATTGAAACATGTGTTTGGCGGAAAAGTCTTTGTATGTTTCATACCCGACAAAACAGCATGTGTGAAGAATTTCGCGCGATTCACTGACCATGGCTCGCTGAAACAGCACCTTCGAAAGATTTCGCGCGATTGGTTGACAAGGGTAACTGAACAGCACGTGTCAAAGATTTCGCTCGACCAATTCATCGAACAGCATTGTAATTATGAATTTTTTCGAAAGTGTGTAACACTTTCTAAAAATGTGTATTGTGAAAGCGCAGCTGCCTGTAACGAAGCAAAGCAACGGCGAATTACAATTCGCCGAGTACATAACGAGAGTTGGAGGCCATTCGGCCTCCACCCACGACTTCATTTCAGAACTTTGCAGTTTCACTCCCCACCCACCCGCCCTAGTTGTACCAATATTTGTATGATCCATAGTTGGACGAGAATGTTGTATTACTGCAATTGTAATGAAGCCTTGTAATGAAGCCAGTTGCCTTTGCAAGAACAGAAAGCAAGCTTTCTCAATTTTCAAGTCTGGAAAACGGTGTTAATAACGAAATCGCTCGCATGCACCAGCCTGACAAGGGGTTAGCCTGATAGGGGTCCGTAGGAACACGCTCTAAGGCATGGTATCTTCTTCACATCACTTCTCGGTCCTGAAATATATTTAATCCAATTTTCATCCATTACTTAACTACCAAATACCGAACAACCATCGCCACCCGACTTCCCAGCAGATACGGTATGCACGCATTGGCGACTGTCCCGGGTTGCAGAGAACATTTACAATAACCACCACTTACGCATAACACGATAACTTCCTACTGTTCACGTAACATCATCCAAGCCAACCTTGTCATCTCCAGAGAAACACATCATTTTCCCTTCAAAACCCGTGCCAAGGCTAATTCCAGCTGCGGCCGCAGCTTCCCCAGCATTATCTTGAATCCAGCCGAACACCCATCATCACCCCCACCACCGCTTTGCACCGCATCAGCAGGCCTCCTAGCCTCTCCCTGCTGTCCAATCGAACCCTCCTGCTGCAGCTGAACACCCTTGGAGCCACTCGTGCTGTCAGAATCGGGTCGGCTTGCGGTGTCCTTAGCAGAAGAACTTGTTGTGTCTTTGACAGCAGCTGGGCTTGCCTTGCTTGCAGCCTTGAGTGGACACACCTTGGTCCCTTGAGCGTATGTGTCGCACAGAGCAAGGATGGCAGCAGCATGCTGCTTGAAGTGCAGCGCCACCAAAGGTTCAAAGTGCTGATGTGGGGAGGAACGGGGGCGGAGGGGGGGGAACAGATGAGTGATGTCACACACACACTCTAGTCCCTTGTACATATGTGTCACACAGAGCAAGGATTGCGGCGGCATGCTGCTTGAAATGCAGCGCCACTAGGGGCTCAAAGTGCTGGGGAGTGGAAGGGAAGGGGAGTGGAAGATAATAATACAAATACTAATAATACTAATAATAATAATAGAAATAATAATAATAATAGTAAAGAATCAGACAGTACTGATTTCACACACTCCAACCCCTTGGGCATATGTGCAGCAAGGCTGACATGGCATGGACTGATATGGCATGCACTGACATGAACAGAGTGAATACGAATTTCCAATCAACTAGGGAAACGCCAAGCAGATGCATCACTTGAGGACAGTACCTTCAGGGGTTGCAGTCCTTGTTCTTTTCATACATTCCTTGTCCTGGGAGTAGATACATTTTCCGGTCAACAATAGACCAGTCCACTGAAGAGCTCTCAAGCTGATCCAATCACATCAACACATGCCTTGGGGGGGTTTCGAATGGAGTAGATGATGGTTTTGGCCGACAGCAGGAACGCACTCTGGTTATAGAGATCAGCGTTCCTCTCCCCCTCTGCACTACCCCTCTGAACTGCCCCTCTGCCTCTCATGCCCAAACCCCACCGAAACACTACCAAGTCAACACAGAAGTCCCCATATCAGCCCAGCCATACCTTGGGAGGGTTGCGAATTGAGTAGATCATGGTTTTGGCTGACAAGAGGAAGGCGCTCTCATTGTAAAGATCAGCGTTCCTCTCCCCCTCTGCGCTGCCCCTCTGCCTCTCGTACCCCGCCTCGTTGAAATACGGCCGCGGCACGAGCACAAGGCCTTGAATAGACACGAGCACCTGAGAGATATGGGGGGATGAAACGCCAAGGCAGGGAAGCAGTGAGCAGACAATGCGACAGCAACGTTCCTCTCCTCCTCGGCTCTCTCCCTCTGCTCTCCCCCTCTGCGCTGCCCCTCTGCCTCTCGTACCCTGCCTCGTTGAAATACGGCCGCGGCACGAGCACAAGGCCTTGGATGGACACGAGGACCTGAGGGGGAAGGGGGGAGGGGGGGAGGGGATGAGCGAAGAGGAGAAGAGAGAGTAGGCTCATGACGCAAGCACAAGGCCTTGGATAGACACGAGGACCTGGGGGGGATGGTGTATGTTTTTTGAGAATTCTAAAAAAACATACCCGGCTCATGACGCAAGCACAAGGCCTTGGATTGACACGAGCACCTGGGGGGGAGGGTACGACGAGGGATGTAAAGACCGGGAAGCAGAGAGTAGACAGTGAGGCAACAACGTTCCTCTCTCCCTCTGCTCTCCACGCCCCTGCCACACCCCTACCACACCCGTCCCACACCACTCCCACACCCCCCTCACACCCTTACCACACTCCTACCAGACTCCATCCACACCTTTACCACACCCCTCCCACACCCTGCCACTCACACACGCATACCTGCAGAATGGACGAGCCTGGGTTCCAGACCTCCGTGCCCTTGCCTTCCCACGTGTTTGTGTTTGTAGAAGGACAGACACACCTTGCATTCTACTGACTTCGTGAGAAACCCATTCAAGGCACTACCGCCATCCTGCCACTCCCACTCAAACACACGTACCTGCAGAATGGACGAGCCTGGGTTCCACACCTCCGTGCCCTTGCCTCCCCACGTGTTTGTGTTGAAGGACAGACACACACTCATGCAGAGTGCGTGACTCAACTCATGAATGACACACACTCATGCATTCTATCGACTTCGTGAGAAACCCATTCAAGGCACTACCGCCATCCTGCTACCACCCACACACACACGTACCTGCAGAATGGACGAGCCTGGGTTCCACACCTCCGTGCCCTTGCCTCCCCACGTGTTGAGCAGCGATAGGCACACCTTGCCGTCCTCGTACAGGTTTGGGTTCACTCTCAGGCCGCCTGAGTGGTAACGCACGGACTGGCAGAGGGGAAGGGGGGAGGAAAAGTGGAGGGGGTTGTTAAATAGCACACTTCACATGTTGAGCAGCGATAGGCACACCTTGCCGTTCTCGAACAGGTTAGGATTCCGATTCACCCTGAGGCCGCCTGAGTGATAGTGCACGGACTGGCGTTGCAGGGGGTGAGTGGAGCAGAAGAGGGGTTGATAATTAGCACACTTCATGTGTTCGGGAGCGAGAAGCACACCTTGCTGTTTTCGTACAGGTTTCTGTTCCCCCTCAACCCGCCTGAGTGATAATGCACGGACTGGCATCGCAGGAGGAGATTGGGATATATACATATATATACATGTATATATATGTATATATACGTATATATATGTATATACATGAATATATGTTCTGCGATTCCAAGAGTGCCACGCGAGCCCGAAGCGGTAGGGAGTGTCGGGTTTGTAAGGACAGAGATGGAGCATCACTCACAGGAGGAACCGCAGGGTAGTCGGGTGGGAGCCAGATGTCGAAGAAAAAGTGCCGGATGTGGTATGTGGTGTGTCTGACTAGCCCAGAACAGCGAATCCTTAGGTTCCACTAATAGGAGGAACAGCAGGGTAGTCAGGTGGGAGCCAGATGTCGAAGAAGAAGAGCCCGAGGTGGTACGGGGTGTGTTGGGTGTGTGGCAGGTACACAGGGCGACAGCACTCACTTGCTCGGAAGCGAGGAGGAGGGGTATCACTCACAGCGAGGAGGAGGGGTATCACTCACAGCGAGGAGGAGGGGTATCACTCACAGCGAGGAGGAGGGGTATCACTCACAGCGAGGAGGAGGGGTATCACTCACAGCGAGGAGGAGGGGTATCACTCACAGGTTGCACAGCAGGGTGGTCAGGTGGAAGCCAGCTGTCGAAGAAAAAGTGCTGGATGTGGTATGTGGTGTGTTGAGTGTGTCTGGCCTAGTGCTACAGTGCGTGAGACACACACTCAGAGGAGGCACAGCAGGGTACTCGGGGGGAAGCCAGATGTCGAAGAAAAAGAGCCCGAGGTGGTACGGGGTGTCAGGGGGGAGCAAAGCAGAGCATTGGTGGTTGAATCCTTCCCCAACAACACGCGTCACTCACCGGCGGCACGGCGGGATAATCAGGTGGAAGCCAGATGTCAAAGAAAAAGAGCCCGAGGTGGTAGGGGGTGTCAGGGGGGCCGACTATGGCCACTCGCAGCAGATCCATTCGGTCTTCATACACACGCACAGAGATGGAGTCTGGTGGGGTGGAGAGGAGTGGAGAGGGGTGTGGAGAGCGGTGGAGAGGGGTTGTAAAGGGTGTAAGTCAGATGTCAAAGAAAAAGAGCCCGAGGTGGTAGGGGGTGTCATGCGGTCTGACTATGGCCACTCGCAGCAGATCCATTCGGTCTTCATACACACGCACAGAGATGGAGTCTGGTGGGGTGGAGAGGAGTGGAGAGGGGTGTGGAGAGCGGTGGAGAGGGGTTGTAAAGGGCTGCAAGCCAGATGTCAAAGAAAAAGAGCCCGAGGTGGTAGGGGGTGTCATGCGGTCCGACTATGGCCACTCGCAGGAGGTCCATTCGGTCCTCGTACACACGCACAGAGATGGAGTCTGGTGGGGGGGTGAGGTGTTGGAGGCAGAGGGGTGGAGAGGAGTGGAGAGGAGCAGTAAACGAGCTAAAGGTTCGCGTGCCAGAATCTCAAGCAATGGGCACTCGCAGCAGGTCTATGCGATCCTCGTACACTCGCACAGAGATGGAGTCTGGTTGAGAGGGGTGTAGAAGGGTGTAAAGGGGTGGAGAGGGGTATGAGAAGGTATACAGGCGAGGGTTTGTAATGGCCACTCGGGGCCGATCCACACACACAGCGAGATGGAGTGTGGTTAAGAAAAATGGGGCCGAGCGAGGGGTGGAGGCAGGTGAAGAGGAGCAAAACATGGCTGTTCCTGAGGGACTTCATAAACAGTACGTTCACAAGAGTCCCTCAATAGAGTCACAATCCCCCCTCTACAGCTCCCTGGCCCACCTCCATACACATGCCCAGGCTGGTTTGGAGACTCTTCCGTACCTGGCAGGTTGGTCTGGAGAATCTCCCAGTCCTTGTGCACAGCCTTGGCCCACTTGCGATTGCCCGGCTGCAAGGGGTGAATGGGAGGAGGCAGAAGGGAGGATGCAGAGGGGAGGGGGTGAATGGAAGGCGGTGGCATGAGGTAAAGAGACATGAGACACCAATCCTTGTGCACTGCCTTGGCCCACTTGCGATTGCCCGGCTGCACAAGGTGAACAGGAGGGGGTGAATGGGAGGAGGTGGGAGAGAGGAGGTGAGAGGCAGGAGGTGGGAGGGAGGAGGTGGGGAGGAGGCAAGGGTTTGAGAGGACAAGAGGCAACGACTGAGCCGACTCAAAAGGCTGCACTGCAAGAGATGCAGGGGAGGAGGCGGGGCCAGCAGCAGTGGCACCACCACCACCACTGCAGCAGCAGCATACCTGGAAGGTCTGGGAGGCGTAGTAATGGTCAGTAGCATTGGTCACACACACTGTCAAACTGTTGTCGCCACACGCCCTCACTCCCTGCCCTTGGGGAAAGGTGGTGGGAGGTTTAAGAGGCATACCTGGAACGTCTGGGACGCATAGTAATGGTCAGCAGCGTTGGTCACACTGTCAAATTGCCGCCATGCGCCTTCACTCCCTCCCCCCGCCGCTGCCCCTGCCACTGCCTCTGCTGCCCCTGCAGCTCCTGCCCCTGCCTCTGCTGCCCCTGCCCCAACTGCAGCTGCTTCTTCTTTCCCTTCCCCTCCTTCCCGACCTTCCTCCCCTTTCACTTCCTCTGCTCCTTCCCCTTCCCCTTCCCCTCCCCCTTCCCTTGCCTCTCCCCCTGCATCTCCCCCTTCTTCTGCGCCCTCTCCCCTTGTCTCCCCCACTCTCTCTTCCCCCCGGTCTCCCCCTGTCCCTTCCCGCGTCTCTGTTTCTTCCCTTGCGACTACCTCAGTTTCCTTGCTTTCCGCCTCCGGCGAATCTCCCTCTGCTTCCCCTTTCACCTCACCCCGAACCTCCCCTTCTGGTTTATCAACTACAAAACCTCCGACCCCCAAACTCTCCATAGTTGCATTCATCTTTTCCTCTCTTTCCCTCTCCCCCACCTCTTCCAACGTGTAATGAGTCGAGTTTTGAGTCGACTCAAAACTCGTCTCCATACTTGCATTCATCTTTTCCTCCCTTGCCCTCTCCCCCACCTCTTCCAACCGTTCCTCCTCTCCTTCTCGCCTCCTCTCCCCCCCACCTCTCCCTCCCAATTCCTCTCTTCCTTCCCCTTTCCCCCCTGCCCCACTCTTCTCTCCCTCCTTCCCTCCACGTCCCTCCAGCAGCAGAGCCAGACCAATCCCAGCAGAGCTCTCAGCCCCACGCGCTCCCAACTCCCCTTCTCCTCTACTCCCTTCCCCTTGAGTCTCCTCCACAGTAGCAGCCGCTGATCCATCCTCATTACCACCACAGGATCCCTCCTCAACACCTGCTGCCAAACCTGATCCGTCCGCACCTTGCCCTCCTACCAAACCCCCCTTCGGACCACCTGACACACTTGCTGCCGCCCCCTTACGCCTGTGCCCCAACCCCCCACCTGCGCCCAAACCTAAAGGCCCCTCCAAGGGTTTCTCTACCAGCTCAGTTGGTGGTTTATCCGCTTTCTGCTTCTTCTCTCCCTCCCCCTCTTGCTCCAGCAATCCCTTCCCCTTGCTGCCCGCCTGTTGCGCATCCCCCTCCGCCTCTCCCCCTCCGCCCCCCCTCCTCCTCTCCCCCCTTGCTTCCGCCCCCCTCCTCCTCTCCTCCCTCCCTTCCACCCCTCGCATCCTCTCCCGCTTTCCTCTCGCCCCTATCCAGCTTTGGTACTATCTCTTGCAGCAACGATATAATCGACGTCATCCCTGCAGCCAGTCGCTCTGAAAATCCAACCCTCGCGTCACTCCCCGCACCTGCCTGCGCGGATTCCCCACTGCCGCCCGCCCCCCTGCTTCTCTCCCCCTCACCCTCCCCCAAAACTCCCCCCGCTTTCCGCCTCCTCCCCCTCCTCCTCCTCCCACCACTCCCACTCCCCTCCTCTCCACCCCCCTCCCTCTCCCCTTCCTCCTCTTCCTCCTCCTCCGCTTCCCCCTCGTCCCCTTCCCCTTCCCCTCCTCCCCTCCCTCCCGCTCTTCCCCCTCTCCTCCCCCCTGCGCCTCTCCCGCCCCCCCACCAGTTGCGCCCCCTGCTAAACGCATCCAGCTCATTCTTCACATTCTGCAGCCCTTGCAGGCTTGCAGCTAAATCATCCACTGCTCCTGCTCCTCCTCCTCCTCGCCCTCCTGCCGCCGGTTCTGCTACTGCAGCCATTACTCTTCTCCCTGTCGCCTCGGGAAGGCTTGCTGCAGCTGCACCCGCCTGCTGTAGCCGCTGCTGCATCTCTCCCTCTCCCTCCTCCTCTTCCTCATCCGCTGTCTCCCACCCGTCCTCCTCATCCTCGGTATAAGCCTCCTCGTCTTCATACCCGCCATCCCCTCCATACATGTCCTCTTCATCTTCCGGACTCAACACATAGACATGTGTGGGGGGAACCTGGAGGTGCGGAATGGGTTTGCCAATAGAGTGATTCTTGAGTCGACTCAAAAGTCAACACATACTCAACTGTGGGGAAAAAACTGGAGGTGCGGAATGGGTATGCCAACATATGGTGGATGGTGCATGTCGCATGGTAATCGACAGCAGCACACCTGGGACATGGAGCCATCAGCCTATGCAACCGTGAGCAGACCATGGCGCATGCCGCATGGCGCATGGTGCATGGTGCATGGCACATGGCGCATGGTGCATCTCGCATGGTGCATCTCGCATGGTGCATCTCGCATGGTGCATGTCGCATGGTGCATGTCGCATGGTGCATGGCACATGGCGCATGGTGCATGTCGCATGGTGCATGTCGCATGGTGCATGTCGCATGGTGCATGGTGCATGTCGCATGCCAATCGCATGGTGCATGCTAGTCATATGGCGCATGGCAGTGAAGCCATGCGTGGTAACCCACTGGGACGCACCTGGGACATGGAGCCATCAGCCCATGCAACGGTCAGCAGCCCGTCACGCATGGCAGCAATCTCACCCACCCATGATGCATCCACGCTCCCCCCACCCACGTCCCCCTCCTCTCCCTCCTCTCCCTCATCTCCCTCCTCCCGATCATCTGCTCCCTCCTCCTCTTCCCCTTCCTCCTCCTCTTCTTCTTCCTCCTCTTCCTCTTCCTCCTTCTCCTCCTCCTCCTTCTCCTCCTTCTCTGCTACATCATCCCCTCTCACTTCACTCCCCTCCTCTACTCCTTCCTTCCCTTTCCTCTCCCCTCCCTTCCCCTCTCTGTCTGCAACCGTCCCACCATTCCTTTCCCCTCGTTCCTCCTCCTCCCCCTTCCCACCTTCCCCTCCCTTATCGTCCACCCTTTTCGCTCCTGCTCCTTCCTTCTCCTCTCCCTTTTCCTTTCCTGCCTCCTCCCCTGCCTTTTCCTCTGCCGCCCTCCCTGTCTCCCCTCCTGCCCCGCCTCCTGTCTCTCCTCCTCCTTCTGCCTCCAGCCTCACAACAACATCCCCAAGCCTAAAATTCCAGTCTGGATGCTCAGCCAACTCATACACCGCAGCCAACTCCTCCTGAAACTCCACAACCCCACCCCACCCCACCGCACACCCACCCTCCCTTCTCCCCGCCCCTCCATCCCCATCCTTCCCATTTTCCCCCAAATCTCCTGCCGTGCTTCCCCCGTTAACCCTAGCCCAGGCCACAATGGCAGTGCGCTGCTTATAATCCACCGTTTTCACATACCCAACTCGGCCCCACGGCCCTCGCACCAGAACGGAGAGGGGGGCAGGAGCAACGGGAACGGCAGAGGGCGGGAGAGCAGCAGCGGGAAGGGCGGAAGAGGTTTTGACTGTATCAGCTGCTGCTGTGGCAGCTGTTGTGCCTGCTGCTGCCTCTCCTGCTGCTGTGTCTGCTGCTGCCTCTCCTGCTGCTGTGTCTGCTGCTGCCTCTCCTGCTGCTGCTGCCTCTCCTGCTTCTGTATCTGCTGCTGCTGCCATCTCTGCTGCTGCAGTCTCTCCTGCTGCCGCCACTGCTGCGTCTGCATTAGGACGAGGAGACGAAGGAACCCCAACAGCATCAGCAGCGGAGGTCAGAAGAGCGACCAGATCTGCAGCAGCGCCACTCATCCCCCTCTCTCCCCCTCCCCCTCCTAACCCATCCCCAACCCCCAGCCCTCCTTCCCCTCCCCCCCCATTCCCCATCCCCATCCCCTCACCCCCCCCCATCCCATCATCCCCATGCTTCTCCACCACATAATCCTCCGGCCAAAAGTCGTGTTCACCCAGATTTTCCACGGGTATTAACTCGCACGCGTCAATGCCCCTCTCCTCGCGCCCATCCTGCCACGTGACAGCTACGTGGGTGCTTGTGCGCACCACCATTGGCGCCCGCTCCACGCCCTTGGGGGTTTTGTGGGGGTTTTTCTTCTTGGAGTTTGTCTTTTTGCCCCTGCCGCGACGCCAGAAAAACAGGTTGCTGCTGTTACTCCTGCTGCTGCCAGCATCATTGCCGCCGGTGCTGCTGTTGCTGGTGGTGTGGCTGGTTGTGACAGTGCTACCTCCACCAGAGCCAATAAGCGGATCCCTCTCCCCTGCCTCTCCCGCTCCTGCTCCCTCTTCCTCTTCCCTCTCTCCGTCCCTCTTCTCATCCCGTCCCTGATCCCGTCCTACTCCCCCCTCCCCTCCCCTCTCTCCCCCTGATTCCTCTCCGCCCCCTCCTCCCCCCGCCCCCTTCCCCTTCCATCCCCGTTTCCCCCGTCCCGCTCACCACGTCTTCAATGCGCAAGCAGTGGTCTCCCACCTGCCAGTTGACGTAGTTAAAATGCACCAGCGCGCGCACAGCCGCCGCGCTTACCTCGTCTGGCGGCGGCCCTTTCGTTCCCCCCGCGCCCCCCGTATTCTTCTCCCCTTTCCCCGTGCTTCCCTTCTTGCCGCTGCTGCCGTTGCCGTTGCTCTCCCCATCCCCATTCCCCCCGGTCTCTTCCCCCTCAACCGAGCCGCTATCCCTGCCGCCATCCCCGCCACCACTCCCGCCTCCGCCGCTTCCGCCGCCGCCGCTGCTGAGCTGTCTCCCCGTGATCCACTGAACGAGGGCCGTTCCGGGTTCGACGACTGCCACCGTGGCTTCCATGCGCGACTGCTTCCACGTGCCCTTCAGCCATTGGGCGCGGCGGAAGATGCTCGCGTAACTCGCGCGCACGCGCTGCCCGGGCCAGAAAAGAATGCTCTCCTCGTCGTCCGTCGCAGACGGTCTAACCGGAAACAAATCGTCCGGACTGACTTTGGTAACCCGACATTTCGCCCCGTCGTCGAAAACCAAAACGAGGTTATCCAATATGTCGCCAACCCTCCCCACCCAGTCGTGGTAAACGACAAACCCCCCGGGTTTCACGGATCGGATCGGAACCAATCGCCTGGAATCCACGTCTTTCAGAATCTCCCCCGACGCGAGCTCGAGATCCAATAGCAGCTCGACAGCTGTCACGGTCCCGGTTTGCCCCAGCGGATCGTCCGCGCGCGCCACGACGTCTCCGTGTAAGAAACAACGGTCTATAATTTTAAGATCCTCGATTCGTTCCTCAGAAGGTTCCTCCGATCCGAGCCAGCAAATCCTGGCATATCCGTCTTCCAACGAATCCGCGTCATCCTCGTCGTCATCGTCGCTGTCCACGTTGCCTGCCACGTCAGCAACAAGTCCGGTTTTAGCGGGATCCGTCGCGCTGGTAACCAGATCTTCCACATAAAGCCGCATAGTCTGTGGTTCGTCAGTCCCCTCCTCCTCCTCCTCCTCTTCTTCTCCGTCAACGTCTACGTCATCTCCGTCAACGTCAACGTCATCTCCGTCAACGACTTCTCCCTGCTCGTCCAACAGATGCGACCTCTGGGCGTCTGGACCGTCCCGATCCCTCAACCCGTCTAACCCCATCTAAACACGCGAACCCTCGAGTCGCGCCTAGCTGATCTGAGCCCCCGATCGCAGGTGTTCCCTTATTGGCTGCGAAGGATTCGGCTGCGAAAGCACGATGCTGTCGCGATCTCAACCACGAAACGCTGGCTTCACGACGACTCGCTCTGCGACCAGTTGCGATCAGCGTTTCATCCGAATTCCCAGCAACAACAACGCAATTCGATTCGTCGTCCTCGTCGTCAACCTTACACTTCGCTTTGTCTCCCACGCCGTGTTCAGTCGTATCTCATATCCCCGTTTCCCTCACAAAAACCGATTGCAATCCAGATTCTCCTCGTAGCACAACGCGCATGAATCTACGCGAAGGACGCCATGTGCGAGCGATGACGCAAGCCCGAATGAAGGATGACTTGCAAAGCCTCAACGATTCCAGAGCACAAAGATCTCTGTAAGATGATGATATGGTGATCTCGAGGAGCATTCCCAAGAAAAGAATTCGAAAAAAATTTCTAACCCAAAGATGGATGACGCATGACAGGGATGGCTGACGGACAACAGCAACGCAGAGCTAGAGGGACTTGATGAATAAAGACAGAGCGGTCGAGAGGGATTCTCGGAAGTACCGGTATATTGTGCTGTGCTAGCTGCTTGGAGCTTTGGAGCTGGAAACAAGCCAGCAAACCAGTTAAAACCGAAATGCAAAATAGTGAACCCGGGGCCAGCTTGAAAAAGGGCTTGTCAAACGAAACAATTTTGCACTAATTCATTGTGAGATCCAGAAGTGGCCTAGTCAGTAGAAAGAGGCACTTTCGATAGATGAGGTACTGGGATCGGACCCACCCCCGTGCAGGCGTGTTTTGCCAGCCCCAAGAAGGGGTTAGCACGTGCTCATCTATGTAATGAATGTGAATTCATTACTGTAGAGGCTGTTGGGCCGAGGATTTCAGCCTTAGGATCTTTGCAGAGAATAGGCTAGTAGGTGCTAGAGTAGCACAGCGGAAGTCTTTTGAGTGAATGTACTTGTGCTGGTATGTGAGAACAAGTAATTGATTAAAGTAAAGAGCATACAGGAATATATAGGAAAGATAGATTACAGGAAGCGGTTATTGTCAGAATGAGGAATGGTGTGAACATTGATGTTGGTTGGGGTACATATGACAAACCCTAACTTCTGTACCCCCTAAGACAAACCTCACTACAAGCTACAACATTTGACACACCCCCATAGCCTAAGTGAGGGGTGTCTAGCAAAATCAAAAAGAGTACGGTCACAAGACCAGTCCAAAAGAAAACAAAGCTCAGGGTGGATCACAACGTCACCACACACTCTGAGCACAAGCAACAGTGGCCACAAGGCCAGTCCAAGAGATCACAAGTATATATAGCAAGTGTACAGACGAAGCAGGCAATAAACTCAAGTCTACACATGACTAGAACCTGTGTCAACAAGGCCTAACTGCACACAACACCTCTGGTGGTCACAAGGCGGAAGCGCCTTGGTGAAGATGTCTGCAGTGTTGGCCTCGGACTCCACGAACTCGAAGCGAGCCTGTCCACGTCTCTGCAACTCTCGCAGAAGAAAGTACCTGACGTGAATGGGCTTCACTCTGCTCTCCAGTCGCGGCTCACGACAGAGGAGGATCGACGCCTTGTTGTCAGTAAACAAGGTCGGTGCAGAGCTCGGCCGCTCACCAAGGTCGGCGAGCAAGAAGGTCAACCACCGCAACTCCTGTGCCGCCATGGCACCAGCGTAAATCTCAGCCTCAGCTGTAGAGGTCGAGACAGAAGAGGAGCGCGTGGAACGCCAGGAAACAGCTCCAGAACCCAGACTGAAACAGTACCCCTGAGTAGACCTGTGAGTCTCAGCGTCGTCAGCGTAAGAGGAGTCACAGTGACCAGTGAGTACGACAGACTGCTGCCCTCCAAGAACTAGCCCCACGCCTGATGTAGTCGCTAGGTACTTCGCCACCCTCACAGCTGCCGTCCAGTGAACAGGACGGTGTCTCCCTGGCGCAACAAAGCGCGCAAGGATGCTGAGAGGGAAGGCGAGGTCCGGGCGAGTACAAGTCATCAGGTACATGAGGCAACCCACAAGCTCTGCGTAGGGACCACTAGGCTCAAACGGCTCGTCAGGAAAGGGACCAGTGAGTCTGTGGTCAACAGCGAGAGGTGTGCGCTGTACGGTGGAGTGCTGAAGCCCGAACCGCTGAAGGACCTGCTGCACCATGTGTGACTGTGAGAGTGTAATGGTGCGAGCGGCTCTGTCCCTGGTGATCTGCAGGCCAAGGTAGTGGCGCAGCTCACCAAGATCAGTGCACGTGTGTCTCTTCTGCAGTTCGGACTTCACGTCTGCCAAAGCAACCCTGTCCGGAGTGGCGAAAACGAGGTCGTCGACGTAGACCAGAACAAAGAACGGTGTGGAGCCACGACGAACGAACAGCGACGGGTCGGCAGAAGACGGCTGGAACCCAAGGTCAGAGAGGGTAGAACGCAGAGTGTCGTGCCACTCGCGAGGGGCCTGGCGAAGACCGTAAACAGGTCGCCTCAGCCTCCACTGGGTCCCAGGAGGGAAAGTGCCAGTGAAGGCCGAGGGACGACGCAACCAGACCTCCTCGTGTAGGCTGCCCTGAAGGAAAGCAGTGGAGAAGTCGAGAGAGTGTAACTCGTAGTCTCTCTGTGCTGCTACGTGTAGTAACACCGGAAGAGTGGTCATCTTCGGGGTAGGTGCGAAGGTCTGAAAGAAGTCAACTCCCTCGCGCTGACTGAAACCTCTAGCCACGTAGCGCGCCTTGAAGACCGGGGGAGATCCCGGTGGCCGCTTCACCCTGTAGATCCACATGCCGTCGACTACGTTCGCCCCAGGGGGGGGAACCTCATCGACGTAGGTGCCTGTGGATCTGTAGGAGGCCATCTCTGCGTCCATGGCAGCTCTCCACTGAGATGCCCAAGGCCCTGACACTGCCTCAGCGTAAGTGCGAGGAGTCGGAATGTCAAGGGCGTCGGGGTCACCCTCAGGGGCGAGGAGCATGGCACAGAGATGAGGGGAAGCGGCCGCCAGGAACTCTAGCTCAAACTGCCTGTCCTCTAGGGCGTCACAGCCAAGGGCAGACACACCCCCGACGGCCAGAGGACTGGTAGGAGGAGCAGCCACAAGCGTGGTGGCGTAGTCAAGGCGGCGGGTAGCGGCAAAGTCAGTAACCGCGGCAGTAAGAGCAGACACAGAGGACACAGAGGCACGAGGGTGAGTAACAAGAGAGGCGAGAACACGAGAGAGAACAGGACGGTACGTGCGGTAGTAGTCAGTGACAGGAGCAGGGAGCGACACGGTGAGGGCCGACTCAGGAGGAGACGGAAGCACAGACTGAGACGGACGAGGTGGACTGGAACAAAGTAAGGCAGTACGAAGGTCAGTGAAGGGAACAGGAGACGAGGGACGAGCACGAGGGGAGCGACGAGTAGCCCAAGAACGAGACGGAGGAGGAGAGGACAAAGGCGGAGAACTAGAGAAAACAGCGGGGGAGGAGTCAGGCGGAGGAAACGTGGGACCGTAGACAGGAGGAGAGGCGGAGGAGGGAGGAGAAGGGGAGGGGAGACCAAGGGCCCGAAGACCCGAGACAGGAGGAGGAAGTGGCTGCTGCTGCTGCTGCTGCGACTGCTGCTGCTGCGGACGCGGCTGCTGCTGGGACTGCTGCTCCTGCGGGTCCAGCTGCTGGTGCTGCTCCGCCAGCCGCTGTAACTCCCTCTCCTCTCTCTCCAACTCCAGCTGCTCGTCACGCGCACGGCGAACACGAGCCTGGTGCCTAGTCGGGTAGGGGTGGGGGGGCGGAGTAGTGTCCGAAGCAGCGGCAGCTCCAGAGTCAACCCCCGAAGAACCAGGCGCACCACCCCCAGAGGCAGCACTAACACCAGCTCCAGACCCAGGCGCACCAGAACCCGAAGCAGGCGCACCCTCACCCCCAGAGGGAGCACCCCCAGAGTCCGCGCGGCCAGCACCGGCTCCCGGACGACAAGAGTCCTCTGCACCCACCGGGTCAGCTCCAACTCCAGAACCAGAAACTCCAGCTCCAACTCCAGCACCCCCAGAACCAGAAACTCCAGTGCCTACTCCAGCTCCACCTCCAGCTCCAACACCAGCTCCAACTCCAGCACCCCCAGAACCAGAAACCGGTACAGGAACAGGCGCAGCACCAACCTCTCGAGAGCTAGCACCAGCGGCACGCTGCGAGGAGGACTGTGGGGAGGGAGGCTGTACCGGAGGGGCTACCGAAGGAGGAGGGGTAGCCTGGGTCACACCTGACGGGGCTGGGCCAGGGGGGGGAGGCTGTACCAGGGGAGCAGGAGGGGGAGCGGCAGTCAGGAAGAGGGGGGGAGGAGGAACCGGGAGACCTCGACTGGGGTACCTGACGTAGTACGGAGTGGACTCCTCGAAACGGACGTCACGGGAGTCAAAGAACCGGTGAGAGGGAGGGTGGTAAAAGGTGAAGTCAGAGGAGTCCTCAGGGAAACCAAGGAAGACACAGGGGACGGCACGAGGCGAGAGCTTGTCCGCGGAGGTGTCGCGGACAAGAGCCAAGCACCCCCAGACACGAAACCGCGACGCAACACCAGGGGACCCTGTCCAAAGACTGGTCGGTGAAACCTCTGGTCGAGAGACACGTGGCCAGAGGTTCAGCTGGTGCGCGGCGTACCTGATCGCGTAGGGCCACAGAAAATGGGGGGCACAGGCGTGAGTCAGGGAGGTGCGGGCGATCTCCATGACCAGGCCTATGCGGCGCTCAGCAACCCCATTCTGCTGTGGGGACTCTGGAAGCGTCCAGGACTGACGAATGCCCTGCTCGCGACAG